CCCCCCCCCCCTCTTCTTTTCTTGTTCTTGTGTTCTTTTTCCCCTTGAAAATTGAAATCTTTTGTTTTCATCCTTGTTTTCTCTTGACAATAATGTGATTATCTTAATACCCAACTGGGTGCTGGTGATCTTGATGCTTTATGGAGGCATTAACCCCATCATTTTCGATTTGGGGAAGATACGTTCAAAATATATTGCAAAAGGATTTCTTGCTTATAGAGCCCCTTGGGTTGATCTTGATTCCTGGTTGAGTTGAAGCCGACTATGCTCAAGCTTATTTAATTATCCAAGCTAAGAGCAAAGTGAATTTAAATCCTTAGTTCTAATTCGCTTGCGTGGAAATCCTAAATATAGCTTGTCATTTTTAACCAAGATATCACGTCATGTAGAACGTATGTGTTTGGACGAATTGTATGTTCAAACATGTATTTATATAACTATATTTGTATTCACATTCTGCACGATAGAAGAATGGATATCTATTTGCACCCTTACCATTTACAGCATGTGTTTACCTTGTATTACATGTTCTCCAAGATCTATCTAGATTGAAGCAAAGTCATGATTCTACTGACCCTTGATTTTAGATTGACTATGTTGAAAATAGTTTGTAACAAACTGTTGAATTTGATTTCTAGCAATTTCCATAATCTGAGTCTCTGATATGCAATAATAGGAGTCGATATTTGTTGCACAACTGTTAGGGAGAGGGGGCATACTCATGTCATGTCCCAAATACTTGGATATTCTGATACATGACAAATACTTGTTGGATGCTACTGCTATAATATAGTTGGAAATTCATGGATCCCATAAATATAAAAAAATGTATAGATGTATCAGAAATTAAGAATTTAAAATTTTATCCATGAATGGTAGGTTCACATTCCATTCGAGTTGTCAAAGCATTTATTTAATTTCCCACTGTCATAGATAGGAATTATAATCTCTTGTGATAACTAGTTGATATAACTGGGAAAAGTTTCCGTATTGCCTGAGGCGTTTGTGTTTCTGAACAACTATACCCTTAAGCACGTGTTAGAGAGAAATAACATTAATTCATGCACATACATTAATTGAGACATAGACACATAATTATTATTTAATTTCCATCGCATATTCATACCTAGATTTTCATGATTTTGGTATCTGCATAACCATAGTGTGTTCTCTCCTTACCTTGTATATGCAACCTAGCTTAGACAAATATGTTTACATTATCCTATCAATATTAATTTCACCTTTGAAATTTTGCAGTTTACTCACGCAGACACAACTTCATGAGTCTATTCCAATCATGTCATGAGACGGTTATATGACGTGAAGATTCCGATATGAAATAAAAAAGGAAGAGTTGAGCTAGGTTACTACTAATACAAGATGTGGATACTATGTATTCAAATTTAAAATTTGGAGCTCCAAATTCAAAATCTATACGTTGGATGTGATCTATTACACACTGACTATCTAGAAATAAAAGCTCAAATGATTTCTATATGTTTTTAATTATGTAGCAGAGGAGGAAAGATTATTTGATTTTATGAGAAATCTGAAACATTAAGTTTGACAGCATAAATTGCATTGTTAAAACACATTGAACACATGGACTACCTGGAAATAAAATCTAAAATGATTTCGGTACGTTTTTAATCATGTATCAGAGGAGGATAAATTATTCTATTTTATGAGAAATCTGAAACATTGATTTTGACAACTTAATATGCATTGATAAAACACTTTGAAGTCATTCTCCATTTTGTTTTTAGGTTGTCCATGTGTAGGCCACATCCATTGGAGCTACAAAGTTTAAAGTTGATTCTATAGTGTCTGAATTTTGGATGCTATTGACAATAGCCCAGCTCAACTCAACAAAGTAATATCAAGGAAATTTTGAGTGTTTGAGAAACCTTGCAAAAGTTTTCTTAGTTTTCTTCTTTAAGTTCTACGTTCAACAGAGATGTTTGCAAGTTTTGTGCATGCTTATTGATGTTCGTTAGCTACAACATGATTCAAACGATGATGTTATGGTATTTTGGTATCTCATTCTGATATTTTATTTGTTGCAGACTGAGAAGCAGCTAACCAAGCAGCTAGGGAGCATGGAGATTTCAAAAGACACTTCCACATTGCAAGTTTTGTGCATTCTTATTGATGTTTCTTACCTACAGCATGCTTGCAAACAATGATGTTATGGTATCTCATTCTCATATTTTATTTGTTGCAGATTGAGAGACAACTAACCAAGCAGCTAGAGAACATGGAGATTTCAAAAGACACTAACACATTGCAACCCAACCCAGAAAATAAGCATTATGAACAGTCTAACCTGTTGACATCTCCAAGGTAGGGATCCAACCAGGGCACATCTAATTTCCTCATGACATTCAGCTCCCCCTGTTGATTAATACCAGTATTTTATTTGACATGTTTCATCACTGTTGAAACTTTTTTTCTCTTGAAAATGGCATATGCATCAAACTTAATCAAAATCAAAGTATGATGACTTATTAAGCTTGAGAAACGCTGGTTCAGAATCTTTTTCGACTAGTGCTAATATAGTCACCTATTCTACTAAAACAATTTTCTCATACTTCTATAGTATCACAGAAATGTTTGAAAGTTTTCTTTAAGTTTTCAGATAAGAGGGTGTTTGTTTCATGTGGGAACCCTTGGAAAGGGTTGGAAAGACTCTGACTTGGTCAAAAAGTACAACAAAAAAGAAAATCCAAGGGTTTCCATTTCTTGTATATGTTTCACCAAATTTTTTTAAGAAATATTTTTTTAGAAATGAGGAAAACACCACTTTTTGTGAGGAAACCAGTTCCTCTCCAAAAGTGATGAAATGGGGAGGAAAAAGTTGGAAATATGGGTCTTTAATATTTCAATAATGGATGATATGGGGAGTTGGTAAAATATGATAGTTAAATAATGAGAGAGATGTTTTCATCTCAATTGGTTTTTTATTTTTGGGTTTTGAACCAAACAAAGGAATGAGATAGAAAACGTTTCCATGCCGAAACAAACAAAAAAATTGCTTCCTAGAAACACATGGAAAGGAGTGGAAATAGGTTTTTTATTACTAGAAAGTGTTTCCTTTTTTTGGGGGGGAGAAGAAACAAACACGAGAACATGTTCTTTTGGCATGTCAAACCTTGTTTTATCCTGGTTTTCAATGAATTCCTATGGCAAGATGTCATGTAAGTCGTTGTGATTCGTAGTAGAGTAGATGCCCTGCCGCCGTTCATCCTTCATCATGAAATCTATTTTCCTAGTCAAATAGATTTGGGAAATAAGAAGAAAATGATAGAAAATTTTAGAGTAAGACGACCTGGTTGTTGTTTTCTTTGTTATTCTTTTTATTTACCTGTGTTTCCAAACAGGCCATAATGCAAGTTCTGATAACCTAAATTTTTTGACAGCTCCCAACCTGGTTTTGATCAACTCACATCACAGCAGGCTCAGCAGAGAGGGCAAGTCTCAAACAGTCCCCCATCATGATGCTAATCTGAAGATGATTGTGTCTAAAAAAGTCCTTATCCTCACTTAACAAAACAGTGGAATACTTGGGGACCTTGAGCTCCAATTGCTACACCATTTCCACCCCCATCTATGTAGTGATGTAATTACTCCTTTAACCCTAGGTATCTTCTTACGTTCAACACTCTCAATCCTTGATATGTCTTGTTCTATGCATATCGTGGTGGAAATTTTGCACGGTTTGTACCTCAGTGCTGACGACATAGGCCATGGAACTCCAGGTGAATGCATCTTGACCGAAATTTAGATGTGTATACATACATACACAAGCAGGTTTTTGAATGTTTGAGCATCAAAGGTTTCTACTTGAATGCTATTTGAAACCAGGAACCTCGTACAGATGTTGTTAGGCAGCATTGTAGCACATGAGTAAAGCTGATTACTGCTTGTTTTTGTTTTGTATTTGCTGTAAATTGTTGAGAAACTTTAAACTTCTTGTGTATACAATGAAACTGAAAATGCCCATGATGAGTTGTGCTGCATTGCTGTGCGTTGCTATTACACTTAAATTCTTGGGTTGCAATTAACAAGTATTAATTTAAACTAAGTTATTAAAGCATAGATTAGATACTTTTTAAAAGCCTACCTACAAGAATAAGTATATGTTTAAACAGTGTATTGATGCGTGCTAGATATGTATTTTCAGTAGATTTCGAGCCTCATTGTGGCTCATGATTTTGGACTTTTGGCAGGACTGGATGTTGTCTATAATGGACGGACAAAAGTAGTAGAGGACTGTGCAGTGATGTGGATGTTGTCTATAATGGTGTGTTTGGGAGTTTACTTATTAGGGAAGGGAAGGAAGGGGAAATATTCCCCTTCCTTCCCTTCCTCTCCATTACACCATTACACCCCAATTTGGGGCGTAATAATTTGAGTTAAATTTCCCTTCCATTCCCCTTCCATTCCCCTTCTCTATCCTCCAAAATGAAACTCCCAAACAAGGTTAAAATAAAATTTCTCTTCCCTTCACCCTCTCTATCCTCCATCCAAACAGGCCTGACAAAAATCATCCACAATTCAAACAGACAAGCAGATTTCCCGACTCACGCGTTTTGACAGGAGAGTGTGGCATTATTTCTTCTTGTATGCCTCTCGGTATCAAGCCATTAATGTAAAAACATTCTTGCATGCATTTTTGACTTATTTTCAGTCAAATTATTGAGTCTTTCTAATGGCCTGAGTGGTTGAACTCGAGCTCTCCCACTCGCATTAGAGTCTCCTAATAACCAATGTATTCTGCTGCCCAAAAAATAAGGGAAACACATTATTTGAGGGGGCAGATTAGGGGTGGCACTACAGTGCACGTGGCCCATTTTTTAGATTTTTTTTAAAATCTAAAAAGTGGATCATGTGCACTGTAGCCATGAGAGGTGGTGTGTGGTTGGGGGTGTGTCTGTAGCGATTTCCGCAAATTAGTAAGGATCTTTCCATATTGATCCTCAAACTTTTATATTTTGAATTAGTCCCCCAAATCTTGTAAGTGTTTTGGAATTGGTGCAATAAATCTTCATATTCTAATCCCCAAATCTTTTAAAGTGTTTGAAATTAGTCCTCCCATATCCTTCAACTAGGTCCAAACCAGAAGGACTAATTACAAAGCGTTTAAAACATTTGGGGACTAAATTCAAAAGGTTTTGCGTGGACCGAACCCTACCGCTCGCCCAAGCCCCTTCGTCGTTTGGAGAACCTGAGCCTGGAATTGGAGATGGAGCAAACCCAAAGAGAGACCAAGGCTACAAAATCCTCCTCCTCCTCATCGCCTCCATGGCTCGACCTCCCAGATCCGCTCACAGAGCTCATCCTGGAGCGCCTCCCCCTCCTCAACTACCTCCGCTTTCGCCGCCGTCTGCCGGAAATGCGCGATCGATACCAAAATCTCACCGCCTCCGTACTCTCCTTCTCGCTTCACGGAGGCCCTCTTCCTTCCCTTTGCTCGATCGCCACGATCTTCCACCTCGAAGACCCAGTCGGTCGATCCCCAACTGTCTACTCTCCCTTCCACCAAACCTTCACGCCTCCGCCTCCCCTCTCTCGTACCCCCCACGACTTTCGTCACCTCCTCCGCCGGCTGGTCTCCTCTCCACAAAAGCACGCAGGCTTCTCAAAGGACCCCTCGTCTCCTCAACCCCGTCCACTGGCGCCCCACAATCCTCCTCCATCCTCTTCCTAGCTGACAGATCATGTGTTGCCTCACGACGGCGCCATCTCTGCCCCGCCGTCGGATCCTCACTGCGCCATCCTCATCGTTGGCCAGACCAGCTTCCTCTATCGCCGTGCGCCCGGCTCCAACCAGTGGAACAGATTGGACTTCCCTCCCTTACCACAATTAGCTGAATATGTTCGCAACGCTGTTTTCCATTGTGCCGGCAGGTTCTACTGTATGTGTGATGAAGGTTCAGAAATGCTAATGCATGTCCTCGATCCTTCTCTCCCTGCGCCTTCGATGCAGGTATTAGAGATGGGAGATAGCTGGGAATACCCTTATACTATATCGGGTTGTTACCTCTTCCAAGAGCTAAATGGCGAGATATTGATGCTCGTGGAAGAGGTCAGTGGCTTCAAATTTGAGGACTTCCATTTGTTCCGGGCAGATCTTTCTAGGAAGATCTGGGTCACCATTGAAGGTATCGGTCGTCGAGCTCTATTCGTGGACGGTACCAGCGGGTTTTCCTTGCTCTCAGCGGGCGTGGGTTGCCACAACAACTGTATCTACTTAGCTCCTGGGTTTCTCAAGTTTGATATCGATGCTCATTTTCACGAACCATGGAGGATGCTTGAGATATTTGACTTGGAGACAATGAGCTTTATTTCTGAGCAACAGGCTCCAGATTCAAGTACCAAACAAGTCCTTCTGCAGTTTGACAGAAACCGTCTGCGTTGGTTCGTGCCAAGTCTCTAACCTTGCAGAAACTAGTAGTTCCTTCCTGGGAATCGATGTCGTTTGATTTCTCCAAGGTAAAAGAAAAAAAGTGTTGTTAAGATTCTTCAGAATGTCCACTAGCTTCTTAATCACAAATCCAGTGACACTGATAGAATTAACCCTTTACCTATTCTTTTGATCTAATGCTTCTTCTTCTTCCTTCTTCTCTCGTTATAGTTTGGTCACTTTGCTTTCATCGACATTTTCAGCTAGCAACTTTCCTTATGCACGTATGGAGTCAGTCCTTCAATTATTGTCATGTATTTTATATTTAACTTCCAACTTGCTGCTTTTCGAAGATTTTCATAGCATCCGGTAGTCGGTACATATGTGATAACATGGTTGACAATATTTATCACTCTTCTGAAATAGTTGCAGTACCCGACATTAATTTCTTTTATCCAAAAAAATGAGCTCCAATGGAATATGTATCAAATTGCAAAACTCTCCAATAAAATAGTTATCATAATGTATAAACTTGTTAAGCTATTGCACGCCAGGGTTGATATCCGAATTCCTATCTTAGCTCTAACTGGTAGAAGGTTTCTATGACGAAGCAACACGATTAATCGATTAGATTTGCTATAGGAAGTCATTGTCATCTAATACACAGAATGAACAGAAGATTCTTTATTTATTCTAGAATAATGGCGCCTTTAGTGCCTTCTTGTGATCTCTATGTTTGATGCAGGAGGATGTATTCCAGATCGTTCTTCATTCTAGATCAAAATACCCTGGAACTTTATTCTAGAATAATGGCCTCTTTAGTTCTTCTTTATTTATCTTTTCTACTGAGAGTAAATACCTTACTAATTGGTATGGTGATAGTTAGCTAAATGAAAATGCTCACTAAAATATCATCTAGAAGTTCGAATGGGATTGACAGGCAAATAGCGTGCTTACTGGTGTCATTGAAGAGCATTTGGGTCCTCTTAAAACCATACTAATAAAAGTAATTGTTACACATCCCATGCTGTGCAAGAGACTTGCTATTATATGTTGTTGTACTATACATGGGAATATGATGATTTTGGTAAATACCCATTCAAAGTGAACACCCATCAATATGCTTTACTCATATGAAATTAAAAATATTGATGGAAACAAACACCTATATAACTATTTTCAAGTTAAATCATTTCAATTACAGATGGGCTAGGTATGTATAACAATAGCATCATAGGTAGAAATTCATGAATAATAGATACTTCTGAAGAAGATAGCTTGTGAATGAATGACTTCAGTTGCTGCTGTTCATTAGAGTAGTATAGATTCTCACAACTAAAGTTTTGTACCAATGGTTAGTTATCTTGCTGACATTGATAAAAAACCTCCATTTCTATGTTATTTCTCTTCTCAATCTAATAGCAATAGTTTCAAGCTACAGAGCTACAGAATAATACTTTATTATACTGGTGAGTGGTGACGTGTTAAATTTTGGACAGCTCCCAACCTGGTGAGATCAACTCAGATTACTGCAGGCTCAGCAGAGAGGGAAAGTCTCAAAAAGCTCCCATCAAGATGATAATCAAAAGATGAACGCCTTTAGAGCCTTTAGAAGATTCCAGCCTGGTGTTCATCCTCACTCTACAAACAGTGGAATGCTTGGGGACACTGAGCTCCACTCACAGAATGTTAGATTGGGAGTGTGGATACCAACCTCCTCCGGTGAAGCTCCGACGAGCTTGAGAACCACGCAGGCGAGCGTGGGTGTCGACTCTGGCGAAGTCGACGGCGAACTCCAGGCGTAGCTTCAGGTGGAGCTCGAGCAGGCGAGCTCGAGTTTTGGCGTTCCCGACCACGGCTTGTGGGCGTCGCGACCTTGGCGTTTCTGATCCCGACCTCGGCGTTTTGGCGATCCGACCTCGGCGTTTTGGCGATCCGACCTTGGCATCAGGCTTGTGTCGTATTCGCCTATAAAAGCTCCTCCCCGATGCCCTAGCTCGAGGGTGCTTTTTTCGCCATCAGTTCATGGCGGCGATTTTTTCTTTCGTCTTTTTTTTTTCTTTCTCCAGCGCTTGGGATTTGAGATCTTGAGGGGAGATTTAAGAAGAGAGAGAGAGAGAGAAATTAATTATGGTTCTTTATTCCCTTTGAAAGGGGTATTCTCAAAGAGAGAATTGAAAGGGATTATTCCATTTGATTATTAACATTGTAGCTACAGTGTTTGTATTGAGATATCTCAGTTTGGGATCTGCTCTTGAATTGTAATTTCTTGTTAGAGTAATAAGAAATTGATTGTGTGACTCCCGAGGACGTAGGCAGTTGCCGAACCTTTAAAATCTTGTGTACTTTTCTCTATACCGCATTTCTGCTGTTTTAGGGGTTTTACGTAGCCCCGGCGGGTAGTATTCCTAACAACTGGTATCAGAGCATGAAACGATCTAGAGAAAGTTAGATTCAAGTGGGAGCCATGGCCGCAGATGAAGGAAAAATGAGACTTGAGAAGTTTGATGGAACAGATTTCGGATTCTGAAAAATGCAGATAGAGGATTATCTGTATCAGAAAAATCTGTATCAACCACTATCGGGGAAGAAGC